AGATGTGAAGAAAAGGTTGTCAAAATTATCAAAAAGATGTTTCAATTCATGCTACATTGAAGAAGAATGAAGTTTGATTGTTGTAAATTTTGGGTGGGTTACAATTTAGAGTAATTTAGAGTTATTGTATTTTAAGACTTGTTATTTAATTTCGGTTACATTTACATAATGGCTAATTATGGCCATAAAGTAGGAATGTTACAACTTTTGGAATACCTTTAGTAGTTTCATTTTTTAGGCTATATAAAGCCATGTATGTTGTATTTGTAAGGGAGACTTGGAAAATATATTAAAGCTAAGTTTCTTTAGCCAATGGCTAAGTTTCTTTGCAACTCTATGTAGTTTAGGTTGCATGTAGAATCATTCAAGCTCGACATGATCAATCTTGCTTGTGGAGTGATTCGAATCTCAAACAAGTGTTTGAGATATTTGATCAACAAGAATCATTGAAGCTAGACATGATCGATCTTGCTTCTGGAGTGATTCGAATCTCAAACAAAGTGTTCTTGACTTGAGATATTCGATCAACAAGGTAATCCGAATCTTATTCCCCTTGTAGTTGATTCCTTATCTTATCACTTTGACATATCTCAAGATTCGTCGAGTTGCATCCAAATGAGGCTTCTTTGGACTTTGCATGTACCGATTCATAACCCCAACTGCAGAAGAAATATCAGGCCGAGTTAAAGTTAGGTAGAGTGCATTTTAAGCACTCTACATAGAACACCATTTTAACTATTGTTTATCTTATAAATAGACACCCTTTGAAGCACTCTACAATCGACCACCTACATTTCACCATCTTAAAGTTTTTTGTTGTAAGTGTTATGCAACTGTAGTACACACCCTAAGAAAAAATTTGAACCTCGGGCAATTCCTTGTTTTTTTGTAGGATATCCTTGTGCTCACAAAGGTTACAAGTTGTATGACATGCAATCTAAAATTTTTCTTATTAGTCGTGATGTTAAATTTTGTGACGGTGATTTTCCTTTTTCATCAGCTTCATAAACTTTGACATTAACTCCTTCAACTCCCATTTTACCACTTCATGATTCATCCTACTCAAACATCCATTCTAGTCCTCCCCCACCTTCTATTCCTTCTCCTACTACTTCGTCCTCTCCTCCACCTTCTATTCCTTCTCCAGATTCACCCACTAATTCTAATCTTATCCCAACTGATACATCAGTTCCACTCCGAAGTTTTACTCGTACAAAACGGCCTCCAGCTTGTTATAATGATAATGAGATAACTTCTGGAGCCAATCATTTAACCTCTAGCTCAAGTCCCAACACTGTCACCAGGTATCCCCTTCATGATTACTTTTCATTCTCTCGTTTTTCTCCTACTCAACGTGCTTTTCTAACTCTTATTACAGCCCAGGCAGAACCTAAAACCTATGATGAGGCAGATGGCGACCCATTATGGCAGCAGGCTATGAATGATGAAATTGCAACCTTGGAACGTAATCATACTCGGTCTCAAAGGAATTCAGCATCTCAAGACTAGTTTACTCGAGAAATTCCTTATCAAAGATTTAGGGAATTTGAAATATTTTCTAGAAATTTAATTTTTTAGGTCTAGAAAAGAAATTTTTATCTCTCAAAGGAAGTATGCTCTAGACATTTTTCAAGATACAGGTCTTATAGGAGCACGTCCAGAAAAATTTCCTATGGAGCAAAATCTGAAACTTTCTTTAACAGAAGGGGAGAAGTTGAATGATCAAAGTAAATACAGACGGTTGATTGGCAGATTAATATATTTATCCGTTGCTAGGCTGGACATAGCGTATTCAGTTCGTGTGCTTAGTCAATTTATGCATGAACCAAGAAAACCACATTGGGAGACAGCTCTTCGAGTTCTGAAAGAGATCAAAGGTACTCTTGGTCAAGAACTTGTACTACCATCTGAAAACAACTTAAGATTACAAGCATATTGCGATTCAAACTGGGGCGGTTGTGGAACTTCCAGACAATCAATTTCTTGGTTCTGCATGGTGCAGATCATCAGCAAAAGCCGAGTATCGAGCGATGGAAAATACTTGTTTAGAGTGAACTTGGTTAAGATACATTCTTCAAGACTCGAAAGTTCCACTGTCCGCACCAGCATTATTGTATTGTGATAATCAAGCAGCATTACACATAGCAGCCAATCCAGTTTTTCATGAATGTACGAAACACATAGAAATAGATTGTCATATAGTTCAAGAAAAATTACAAGCTGGAATCATCAAACCGTGTTATGTTTCGACTAAAATTCAATTTGTAGATATTTTCACTAAAAATTTGGGAAGACGTCAGTTCGATTTTTTGAATGACAAGTTGTGTGTGATTGACAGACACTCTCCAACTTGAGGGGGAGTATTAAGATATTATTATAATAATTAGTGTTGGAAGCGACATAGTCTTATAACCTATGCTCAAGGCTTCATACATTTCAAACGACGTAATCTAAACATGCATCCATGGTTTTTTACATTCAAAGCAATGTAGTCTGAAAAACTAACATCCAAGGCTTATTACGTTCCAAGTGATGTAGTTTGAGTCATGATTATATTGTATTGTGGGATGTCTAGGGGTTCTTGGATTCTAAGTTTGAGGACCTTGGTTCTTCATTCATGGTACGTCAAGTTAGGCTGGGTTGCGTAAATTTTTTGTACCAATCCAACCCATTAATTTTCAAAACCCAACCGGGTTGGGTTGTTAAAAAATATTTTATTCTTTTTATTCATCTACAATTTATAATTGTTCGAAATAATCTTAGATAAAAGATATTAAATGTTAACAAACAAACACAAGTCCATGTATGGTCACTAAAAAAAACAATTTTTTCATCGACAACAAGTGAGAATTTTAATGTCCTTAACATAGTTCAACATTATCAAAGAACTATGCGTTTTCTGAACAATTAGTTACTATAAAAATAAGGAAACCACAAGGATAGAAACAATTAGCTTAAAGGAAGTATGCATTGTTGGGTTTTATGTCCTAAAACTCACCGTTTGTAAACAAAAAACATATTCTATTTTCAATAAAGGATCAAGTTCAAGTATATAGTCAAAATGATCTATAGTATAAGGATAAGGCTGAGTACCTTATTTTGGGGACACTATGGATGCGGCTCACTTTTGTACATGATATAAACAATGTGATCACTAAATTGTACATGTGGAGACATGTGAGTGAGGGCGTCCTATGCAATGAGTATTGCATAAGATCGGACCATGAAGAAAACCACTCTCACTTTATAATGTCGTTTACTGTTGAGACTGATTTTCTTTCCATTCGATAACCTAGGTAACTCGGTTTTAATCCTGAGCTAACCATGAACTCCTGTTTATTCGGAATTATCCTAGATTTGCATGGGTGAGAGTGGCTCTAGTTCGCCGACTCAATAGGCTTCCCATTTCATGGGTAAGACTTGGTGAATGGCTGGGGACGTGGGGTGCAAGATGGAATTCGCTCCTACCCACTTTTAGGGATAGAAGAGAGGTAATTCCCTTAAGCTCTGACTCCAAGTCTTGAACAAGGGGCCCCACCCTCTCATTAGCCTGAGAGGGATTCGGTTTACTGGTTGGACCACAAACCAATTGTTCATTAGAGGATCAGTGAGACATAAGGAACAAGAAGTAACTTTAGGGGTACAACAGTAAATTGGCCCAGCTCTAGTTACGAACAACTTGTGAAGGATCGACTTACTAATCATGGTAATATCAAATGGACAGAAATATATCTATAGTAAGGGGAGTGCAACTACTAGGCTATAGTGGAGTGTCCTAGTAGTTAACGAACGTTGGTTAACAAGGTTAATGGGTTTAGCCAGTTAATCTTGGTTCATTGGAGCCCATGATATATAAGTCTATTAGGTCCCTCTGCTAGCACGGACTAAACCATAGAACAGTGTGAGGAGTAAGTTCGAAATGTTCGAATTCAAATTAGGGAATATGGGTTACATATATACGATATGTTTAACCGCATTTTTGTTTTATTTACGTATTAAACAAAAAGAGAGAATCTGAGATATTTAAATAAGATTTAAATATCTTAATCAATTATGTGTCGGAATTGATTAGGATTGGCATTTGAATTAATATTAAATATTAATTAAATAGTTTAATTAATCATTTAATGTTACTTTAATTTGAAATTCATTATTCAAGTTAATTGTTGAATTAAAATGAAAAAAGTCAAAATGTTGACTTCATTTAATGAATAAATCCATGTTAGTGGAATTTTGAGGTGTTAAAATTTGGTTAACCAAACTTGCAAGAACCAAACTTGCATGCTTGCCAAATAAACCCCACAAGTTTGAGTGGAATTTTGAGTGTCGAAATTTGGTTAACTCAAACATGCATGCTTGCCACATAATCCCAAACATTTGAGTTGAATTTTAAGTGTCAAAATTTGGCGATCTAAAATTTGCATGAACATGCAAACATGACTCTTTAAAAAGAGTGATCATGGTACATGAAAGGTCTTCTTCTTCTTGGTGAAAAACCTTGAGAAAAACCTCTCACAAACACTCTCTTCACATATACAAAATCCCTCCCAAGTTTAGTCACTCACCGGATTCCACAATCCCGTTCTAAGGCCGGAGGATAGTGGAGAAGACACTAGGGTGGGTTCGAAACCGGTTGGTGAGGAAAAAGGAGTTTGAACAACAAAAGATTAGTATTTAAACTCATTAAGTTTTAATACTTGTGAACATGCTAATTATTTACTATAATTGATGTTCTAAAAGTGCCTAAGATCCAAATTACTTCCGCATTTGTTATATTAACACCAACATGCATAACAAAGTTAAATATTTTAGTTATCAATTTATGTTTGGATGAAACGAGGGAGATGGATCCATAACTTCTTTTAGTTTCATCCCAACTTGATTCCTAATTTTCAATTTGTATTAGATACATAAAAAGTTCCAATTCTAAAACGAAATATCATTGTCTCTCACTAGTTTTCAAAGAATATACATAAAAAATAAAAGAAAGCAAAGGCAGCATGAGTACGATCAAATCGAGTTTCTTGGCTGCTACAATTTTGATGTTACTATTGTTAGTTGTTACCGTCGATGCTCAATCTAGTGCCGATGTTGTTTTTCCTTTTAAAAGATATGGTAACATAGTGTCTGGTACTGACATCAGGAAGGTAAATATACAATATGAACATCAATATTATCACTGGTTGAGTTGATCAATTGTTTGCTATAATTTTTGTTACTTGAGAAATGTAGACTTTAGCAAATGCATGGAAGGATGCATGCACGTCCAATCGTTCTAGTGCAATTTTTACTCCGAGAGGGATATTTAAAGTAAAGCAAGGGAAGTTTGAAGGACCTTGTAATAGCCCAATTGACTTTCAACTTGGAGGAACATTGCAGGCACCAAAAAGTGTCCAGGGATATAATTGGATCACTTTTGCCCGTGTTGATAGATTGACATTATTAGGTGAAGGAGTTTTTCATGGCCAAGGAAAAGCAGCTTGGAAAAGGAATGATTGCCACAAACGCATAAATAGTGCCCAACTCCCCGTTGTAAGTAATATGCATGTTTTAGTAAGGATAAGGCTGAGTAACTTATTCTGGGGACACTATGGATGCGGCCCACTTTTGTACATGATATAAACAATGTGATCACTAAATTGTACATGTGGAGATATGTGAGTGGGGGCGTCCTATGCAATGAGTATTGCATAAGATCGAACCATGAAGAAAACCACTCTCACTTTATAATGTCGTTTACTGTTGAGACTGATTTTCTTTTCATTCGATGACCTAGGTAACTCGGTTTAAATCCTGACCTAACCATGAACTCCTATTTATTCGGAATTATCCTTAGATTTGCATGGGTGAGAGTGGCTCTAGTTCGCCGACTCAATAGGCTTCCCATTTCAAGGATAAGACTGGGTGAATGGCTGGGGACGTGGGGTGCAAGATGGAATTCACTCCTACCCACTTTTAGGGATAGAAGAGAGGTAGTTCCCTTAAGCACTGACTCCAGGTCTTGAACAAGGGGCCCCAATCTCTCATTAGCTTGAGAGGGATTCGGTTTACTGGTTGAACCACAAACCAATTGTTCATTAGAGGATCAGTGAGACATAAGGAACAAGAAGTAACTTTAGGGGTACACCAATAAATTGACCCAGCTGTAGTTATGAATAACCTGTGAAGGATCGACTTACTAATCATGGTTATATGAAATGGACAGAAATATATCTATAATGACAAGAGTGCAACTACTAGGCTATAGTGGAGTGTCCTAGTAGTTAACGAATGTTGGTTAACAATATTAATGAGTTTAGCCGGTTAATCTTGGATCGTTGGAGCCCATGATCTATAGGTCCATTAGGTCCCTCTACTAGCTTATATCGGATTAAACCATAGAACAGTGTGACGAGTGAGTTCGAAGTGTTCGAATGCAAATTAGGGAATATGCGTTACATATATACGATATGTTTAACCGCATTTTTGTTTTATTTACGAATTAAACAAAAAGAGAGAATCTGAGATATTTAAATAAGATTTAAATATCTTAATCAATTATGTGACGGAATTGATTGGGATTGGCTTTTGAATTAATATTAAATATTAATTAAATAGTTTAATTAATCATTTAATGTTACTTTAATTTGAAATTCATTATTCAAATAAGAAAGTCAAAATGTTGACTTCATTTAATGAAAAAATCCATGTTAGTGGAATTTTGAGGTGTCAAAATTTGGTTAACCAAACTTGCATGCTTGCCAAATAAACCCCACAAATTTGAGTGGAATTTTGAGTGTCAAAATTTGGTTAACTCAAACATGCATGCTTGCCACGTAATCCCAAACATTTGAGTTGAATTTTAAGTGTCAAAATTTGGGGATCTCAAATTCGCATGAACATGCAAACATGACTCTTTAAATAGAGTGATAATGGTACATGAAAGGTCTTCTTACTCTTGGTGAAAAACCTTGAGAAAAACCTCTCACAAACACTCTCTTCACATATACAAAATTCCTCCCAAGTTTAGTCACTCACCGGATTTCACAATCCCGTTCTAAGGCTGGAGGATAGTGGAGAAGACACTAGGGTGGGTTCGAAACTGGTTCGTGAGGAAAAAGGAGTTTGAACTACAAAAGGTTAGTATTTAAACTCATTAAGTTTTAATACTTGTGAACACACTAATTATTTACTATAATTGATGTTCTAAAAGTGTCTAAGATCCAAATTGCTTCCGCATGTGTTATATTAACACCAACATGCATAACAAAGTTAAATATTTTAGTTATCAATTTATGTTTGGATGAGCGAGGGAGATGGATCCATAACTTCTTTTAGTTTCATCCCAACTTGATTCCTAATTTTCAATTTGTAAGATACATAAAAAGTTCCAAATCTAAAACAATATATCATTGTCTCTCACTAGTTTTCAAAGAATATACATAAAAAATAAAAGAAAGCAAAGGCAGCATGAGTACGATCAAATCGAGTTTCTTGGCTGCTACAATTTTGATGTTACTATTGTTAGCTCTTACCTTCGATGCTCAATCTAGTGCCGATGTTGGTTTTCCTTTTAAAAGATATGGTAACATAGTGTCTGGTACTGACATCAGGAAGGTAAATATACAATATGAACATTACTATTATCACTGGTTGAGTTGATCAATTTTTTGCTATAATTTTTGTTTCTTGAGAAATGTAGACTTTAGAAAATGCATGGAAGGATGCATGCACGTCCAATCGTTCTAGTGCAATTTTTATTCCGAGAGGGATATTTACAGTAAAGCAAGGGAATTTTGAAGGACCTTATAATAGCCCAATTGACTTTCAACTTGGAGGAACATTGCAGGCACCAAAAAGTGTCCAGGGAGATAATTGGATCACTTTTGCCCGTGTTGATAGATTGACATTATTAGGTGAAGAAGTTTTTCATGGCCAAGGAAAAGCAGCTTGGAAAAGGAATGATTGCCACAAACGCAGAAATAGTGCCCAACTCCTCGTTGTAGGTAATATGCCTTCAGCTTTCCTTCTCAATCTCATGCATGTTGTTGTTTTTTTAAAGGGCCTCACATGTCTTCTCTAATGTTCTGACATTTATAATCTTTCAACAATCAAGTGAAAAAGTGAAACTTTTTTTAGTTTTAAATTTCATTGGGTTCTGTCCAAATTTTTAGCTTCATTACCGAGCCTCACAAAATATTATTTAATTATACAGAATGTTTAGAGTTTGAGGTTCAACTTCATCACCAATTCAACCGTTAAGGGAATAACATCACTTGATAGCAAGAATTTCCATATCAACGTCCTCGGCTGCAACAACCTCACGTTCCATAATATCAATATAGCTGCACCAGAAAAGAGTCCCAACACTGATGGAATACACATCGGTCGATCAAATAATATCACAATCACAAAGTCCAAAATTGCAACTGGAGATGATTGCATATCTCTTGGAGATGATTGCATTTCTCTTGGAGATGAAAGCAAACTAATTGAAGTCACCAACGTGACATGCGGGCCAGGACATGGAATAAGCATCAGAAGTCTTGGAAGATACACTAACGAAGAACCTGTTGAAGGTGTCATCGTAAAGAACTGCACGTTAGTTAACACCACTAATGGTGTCAGGATCAAAACATGGCCAGCTTCTGCTGCTAGCAGCACCGCCACCAATATGCACTTTTTGGACATTATAATGGTCAATGTTAGCAACCCTATTCTAATAGACCAAGAGTATTGTCCGTGCAATCGGCAGGTATTGATCGCATTCTCGAACCTTTGATTCATTTTTTCATTATAACTTCACAAATAAACCAATTGTCGTCTCATTTTAATTTTCAGATTCCTTCAAAAATTAAGATTAGCACAGTGAGCTTCAAGAACATTAGAGGAAGTTCTGCAACTCCGCTGGCAATCAAACTTATTTGCAGCCATCACTTACTATATGACGATGTAAAAGTAAGCAACCTTGACCTCACTTACAATGGAATAAAAGGTTCTATTTGCTCCCAATGCTCGAATGTGAAACCCATCATTTCAGGAAAACAGAACCCCAAGATATGCTCCTCTCCTTATGTTGTTCGATGAATTGTTCATTGCCATAGAACTTCAAAATAAGAGACAAGACAAACTTAATTAAAAAAGAAGACTGCCTCTATCCATTTGGCTCTCATTCTTTTGAGTTTCTTTTGTTGTACTTTTCGAAATAAATAAGATGGTCGAATGTTTGAAGGAGACTTTGTGTCGCGAATAACCTAATGTTTCTAGTACCTCAACCTCATACAATAAAATGGTTTCAGTCTTGTTTTTCATTTTAGATTTGGATTCCAAAAATTTGAGTGGAATTTTGAGTGTCAAAATTTGGTGATCTCATGGCATTAGTTCCGTACGCTTCTGCAGTTGGGAGTTTGATGTATGCTATGGTTTGCACTAGACCTGACATAACACATGCAGTGGGAGTTGTTAGCAAGTACATAGCAAATCCAGGGAAGAAACATTGGGAAGCTGTGAAGTGGCTCCTGAGATATCTGAGAGGTACATCCAATACTTCACTTTGTTATGGCAATGACAAAGTAGTTCTGCAAGGTTTTGTGGATGCTGATCTGAGTGGAGATGTAGACTCCAGCAAGAGCACATCTGGGTATATCTAAACTATAGATGGAACAGTAGTGAGTTGGATGTCCAAGCTTCAGAAATGCGTTTCTTTTTCATCTACTGAAGCTGAGTACGTGGCCATAGCTGAAGCTAGAAAGGAGATGATATGGATGACAGACTATCTAGAAGAATTAGGCTGGATGCAGTGCAAGAAGATTCTTTATACAGATAGTCAGAGTGCCATATAGTTGGTGAAAAACCCAGTCTATCATTCAAGGACAAAACACATTAGAAGACGGTACAATTTCACTCACAGATTAGTGGAAGAAGGCGATATGTGTTTGGAGAAGATAGAGGGTGCAAAGAATCCAGCAGACATGTTGACAAAATGTGTTGATGTTGGAAAATTAAGGTTATGCAAAGCCCTAATTGGTATGGTGTAGGATCAGTCTCCAAGTGGGAGAATTGTTAGGTTATGGAGTCTGCTCCCTGTATTTATAGCTTGGTCAAGGGCTATATCTAGTAAAGCTATATTTGGTAAAGCTATATTTGGTAAATCCATATATGGTAAAGCTATATCTGGTAAAGTTATATATAGTAGATGGTTAAATCGGGTAAAGCTATATATAGTAGACTGAACCATATTTATATCCCGTCCAGTAGAGCTTTGAAAATGTACTTTCTATTCTTTGTACTCTCTCTTGTTGTACATACCTGAAGTCATCAATAAAAAAAAATTCTTTTAGCGAGAGTTCTCCTTGCAATTTTCACTATCCCATTCTTTGTGTTCATCTAGATCGAGCGTGTGCGTTGTTATGCGATCCTAACAACTGGTATCAGAGCCAGGCGAAAGTCAGAGCTAGGTAAAATTCACCACGATCTGTGAAGATGGAAAGTTCAAAGATTGGGATTTAGAAGTTCAATGGATCCGATTTCGGTTTCTGGAAGATGTAGATTGAAGATTATCTATACCAGAAAGATCTTCACGAACCTCTGTTGGGGGTGAAGCCGGATACCATGACCACGAAACAGTTGAAGCTCAAGGATCGACAAGCCTTAGGGATGATCCGGTTGACGCTATCCAGAAATGTGGCGTTAACATCATCAAGGAGAAGACAACGTTAGATCTGATGAAGGCGCTATCAAATATGTATGAAAAACCGTCGGCTATGAACAAGGTGTATTTGATGCGTAGATTGTTCAATCTACAGATGTCTGAAAGTGGACGTGTTGCTAATCATATAAAGGAATTCAATGATCATAAGTCAACTGGGTTCGGTGAAAATTAATTTCGAAGATGAAATTAAAGCGTTGATTTTGATGTCATCCTTACCCGAGTCATGGGATACTGTTGTTGACGCAATCAGCAGTTCCCGAGGATCTGATAAACTGAAGTTTGATGAAATTCGAGATGTAGTTCTCAGCAAAAGTATTCGCAAACGAGAAACTGCAGATTCATCAGGAAATGCTCTCAATGTTGATCGAAGGGGAAGAAGCAAATCAAGGAGCTCAAACAAACATGGGTGTTCAAAATCAAAGAACCGGGAAAAATCTCCAAACAAACCCAACGTAACTTGTTGGAGCTGTGGGAGAAAAGCACACTTTTGGACAGATTGTACAAAACTAAAGAAGAAGCAGAATCATCATAAATCTGAAGATGATGATGATTCTATATATACAACAGAAGATGCTAAGGACGTTTTAATCCTTAGTGTGGACAGCCCAGCTGAATCCTGGATTTTGGATTCAGGTGCATCGTTCCATTCGTCTCCAAGTAAGGAATTGTTTCGAAATTTCAAATCAAGAAATTTCGGGAAGGTGTATATTGCCGACAACAAAACCTTGGAGATTGAAGGAAAGGGAGATGTCTCCATACAAACTCCAGCAGGAAATCAATGGACATTACAAGATGTCAGATACATTCCTAGTCTCAAGAAGAACCTGATCTCTATTGGTCAGTTGGATAGCACAGGATATGCAGCAGAGTTTGAAAAGAGTTCCTGGAAGATTGTGAAGAGCGCCATGGTTGTTGCACGTGGCACAAAATCCGGAACCTTATACACTACTGCAAAGTGTATAAACATGACTACTGCTGTTGAGAGTGCTTCCAATTCAAGTCTATGGCACAATAGACTTGGACATATGAGCGTCAAAGAAATGAAGATGCTGACTGCGAAAGGAGCTAAGAAGGCTTAAATTCTGTTGATATGGGTCTTTGTGAGAGCTGCGTTATGGGCAAACAGAAATGAGTTAGTTTCACAAAGGCTGCCAGAGAACCGAAGAAAGTGCGGTTGGAAATGGTCCATACAGACGTCTGGGGACCATCTCCAGTTTCATCACTTGGTGGATCAAGGTACTACGTCACCTTCATCGATGACTTCAACAGGAAGGTATGGGTTTACTTTCTGAAACACAAGTCAGATGTGTTTACCACCTTCAAGAAGTGGAAAGCTGAAGTTGAAAATCAGACCGGCTTGAAGATCAAATGCCTGAGGTCTGACAATGGAGGAGAGTACAACAAATCAGAGTTTATAACATTTTGTGTAGCTGATATGAACCAAGAGACATCAATCATAACTGATATGAACAAATGAAGCTTTCGTTCTTACCTCTCAAATTTTTTAGTAGAGCCCAGATTGAATTTTTTTATTTTGGATCGATTAAAAACTAAAAAGATAAAAAAAAAACAAATTGAAAAGAAACGCAAAGGAAACATATATCCGATCTTGAGCCTGAAGCTCTGATACCAAATGATAAGATAAGGAATCAACTACAAGGGGAATAAGATTCGGATTACCTTGTTGATCGAATATCTCAAGGCAAGAACATTGTTTGAGATTCGAACCACTCCACAAGCAAGATCGATCATGTCTAGCTTGAATGATTCTTGTTGATCAAATATCTCAACGCAAGAACACTTGTTTGAGATTCGAATCACTCCACAAGCAAGATTGATCATGTCGAGCTTGAATGATTCTACATGCAATCTAAACTACATAGAATTGCAAAGAAAATTAGCCAATGGCTAAGTTTCTTTGCAACTCTATGTAGTTTAGGTTGCATGTAGAATCATTCAAGCTCGACATGATCAATCTTGCTTGTGGAGTGATTCGAATCTCAAACAAGTGTTTGAGATATTTGATCAACAAGAATCATTGAAGCTAGACATGATCGATCTTGCTTCTGGAGTGATTCGAATCTCAAACAAAGTGTTCTTGGCTTGAGATATTCGATCGACAAGGTAATCCGAATCTTATTCCCCTTGTAGTTGATTCCTTATCGTATCAATAACATATGCTTCAATGAAGATGTGAAGAAAATATTGTTGAAATCATCAAAAGATATTTCAATTCATGCAACATTGAAGAAGAATAAAGTTTCATATGATAAATTTTGGGTGGATTACAATTTAGAGTTATTGTATTTCATTAATGTATTTTAAGACTATTTAATTACTTTAGGTTACAATTTCATAATGGCTAATTATGGCCATAAAGTGTGAATGTTACAACTTTTGGAATGCCTTTAATAGTTTCATTTTGAGGCTATATAATGCCATCTATGTTGTATTTGTATTAAGACTTGAAAAATATAGTAAAGAAGCATTTGTGCTTTTCTTTAGCCAATGGCTAAGTTTCTTTGCAACTCTATGTAGTTTAGGTTGCATGTAGAATCATTCAAGCTTGACATGATCAATCTTGCTTGTGGAGTGATTCGAATCTCAAACAAGTGTTTGAGATATTTGATCAACAAGAATCATTCAAGCTAGACATGATCGATCTTGCTTGTGGAGTGATTCGAATCTCAATCAAGTGTTCTTGCCTTGAGATATTCGATCGACAAGGTAATCCGAATCTTATTCCCCTTGTATTGATTCCTTATCTTATCATTTGGTATCAGAGCAAGTTGATTCCTTATCTTATCATTTGGTATCAAAGCTTCAGGCTCAAGATCGGATATATGTTTCCTTTGCGTTTCTTCTCAATTTGATTTTTATTTATTTTCATCTTTTTAGTTTTTAATCGACCCAAAGTTCAAAATTCAATTTTTGCTCTATTTACAATTTTGAGAGGTGAGAATGAGAGCTTCATTTGTGTAAATGTGTGTAAAAAGAGTGGCCTAAAATTCCTTGAGCATATACTCGTGAAAGAGTGTTGTGAGGTCCTACGTATTTCCATAACTTATTTTTTTGCAGCAAAGTTACACAAATAGATTCGAGGACGAATCCTCTTGAAGAAGTGGAGAATGATATGAACCAAGAGACATCAATCATAACATATGCTTCAATGAAGATGTGAAGAAAATATTGTTGAAATCATCAAAAGATATTTCAATTCATGCAACATTGAAGAAGAATAAAGTTTCATATGATAAATTTTGGGTGGATTACAATTTAGAGTTATTGTATTTCATTAATGTATTTTAAGACTATTTAATTACTTTAGGTTACAATTTCATAATGGCTAATTATGGCCATAAAGTGTGAATGTTAC